ATTTTGGAGGGATAATAAAATTTAATGCAGAAAACTAATAAAATTGAATGTTGAAAGTTTTGGAAGGATAATAAAATTTAATGCATGATAATATAATTTAATGCAGGATATAAATATACAGATATAGATTTAATAGAATTTTTTTGTAATACATAAAGTTTAATCAAACTAGTTATCTTGTATTCATTAACAATCTAAAATTATTGGAAAAAGCTACTTGTACAACTATTTTGTACAACATTCAATGACAACATGATGTGACATAATGTAGATGATTGAAATGCAAATAAATGTATGGTTAAGATTTGAGTTAATGATACTTTTAACTAATGTTGTCAACTAATGTTGTGAACTACAATTATACATGTAGCATTACCAAAAAATATTTTATTATTTCATTCAAAACAAATCTCACTATTTTAACTCACTTTTTCAATTTAGAAAAATTTACCGATGGTAATATATTTTGAATTATGAAATCTCATGTAAAATATAAAGAGGCAAATTTGACAATTTTAAATTTTTAGATTTCAATTTCTATAGCTGTACTGCGAGGAAAGTAGAAGCAGTTGACCAAAATTGTATTTCTCATGTGATTTTAATATCAATAAACTCCTAACCCACATTTATTTATCCAAAAAAGATATTGAGTCCTCATCTTCATAATTATTTATTTATCCAAAAAAAATATTAGGTCCACCAGATTGGTGGTCATCTTCATTATTACGAAATTGAATATACATAATTTAAATATTTCAAAATTTCCATAATTTTAGTTGAATATATATATAGAAAAATAATTGCCTAGTGGAAATTACAATTCTGTCTTATGTATCCTCACTAAAAAATTCCTTCATCGCATTTCATTTAATCTATCTATACTTATATAAAAAGGGATTCCATTTACTACATTTAGTATCCAGAAAAATTAACTACATTAAATGCATTACTATTTCAGTATTTATATTTATTTAATTGATTTATTTATTTGTTTTAAATCCCAAACAATCGGTTTCATTCGACTGAATCCTAAATAATCGGCTTCAAGTTTTAGTATGTTGACATTTCTTTCTTATCTTCTAATTTCCTTCTTATCTTCTATTTTGTTTTATCCCATGCAATCCTATTAGTCAACAAAATCCCGTAGAATGATTTAATATTATATGGTGAACAACAATAAGTAAAACTATGCTAAAATTAATTTTTTATTAGTATAATTATTTTAGTGAGATAATATATTAATTATTTTACAAACTAGCCATAACATGCTCATATTTAATATTTTGGCTAAAAAACAACGCTGGTTAAAAGATGTGGAAAAAAACTTATAATAACCCTATTGTTTTTTAAACTTAACATTGATTAAAAGGGGGTAAAAAATAGATAATAACCATATTATTTTTTAAATTTAAACGGACCATGCTGTTAAAATAACTCATTTAATATCTCTGTCTCGTGCATGGCACGAGATACGTACTAGTTTATACAATAATACATAACCAATCAGGCACACGATGGTGCAATTTATTTTTCCATATGATGTCCGCATCAATTCCTCTGAAATTATGCATATTTTTCCTATTTTTAAAGTTATTGTAGCATTAATTCTAATAATCATGATTAATTAATTTGTTATATCTAAATAGATTTCAAAATGACAAAACTATAAACATACTTCTGCAATCACGGTATAATATTATCGCATAGTTAAAAATATTTGCAATATTATTACAATGTAAAATGGTGTCACAATAAAATAGTAGTAGTCACGCTTAGGGGCGAAACCAGAAAATTAGTTGAAATGGGCAAAAGACATGACATAATGAGTTCAGAATCGATACCGAACCGATAATTTTTCGGTAACCGATTTTCGGTTACCGTTACACATGAATCGGTTCGATTATGTTTATTTTTTCATCGTTTCAGTTCGATTAGGTTCGATTTTCGGTTTTCAATCAAAAAATACCTACTCTAGCATGGGCAATAAAAGAGAGATGAAGTCTTTTATATGGGCCAATTAAAATTGTAGAATGATAATAATTAATATACAAAATTAATAGTAAAATAAAAAAAAAAAGTGTTAAATTGTTAATTGACAATGTGGACAAGTTGGCCTAGTGAGTAATGTTTAAAAACATTTTATTGTTTCGAACTAAAAATGAAAAAGAAAAAGAGTAATATTTAAAAACAAAAAATCTAGGAGTGCAAAAATAAATTTAAAAGGGGAATAAATTAAAATTTTTAATATTAGCAGTTAAAAAAATTAAAATTTGAGGGTGACAATTGCCCCCTGCTCATATATGTAAATTCGCCTACAAAATAAGAAGAGAAGATAAAGTGTAGAAAACAAATATACTTATAATGAAAGAAAAATGTTTAGTAAAATTTGATGTTTGCATAAAAAGGAAAGAAAAATGTTTAGTGAAGCTCAACGTGAAGCCTCGAGTACTCTCAAAACAAAGAATTAGCGGCATATTTGAAGTCATCAAACTGTAAATACAATAATCTATATATATATAATAAGAATTAACATTTACCATGAATAGTAGTAAGGAAAAGTCAACCACATTTCTTATATACTATTTTCAGCAACTTTTACATTTTATATTTTAATTTTAATTCATTATCAAAAAATTAGATGGTTCCTAAATTAATGGGTTTTAAATGCACGTATCGTGTTTCAAAAATTATAAGTCATTTAAAATTGGAGGGTTCATAAATTAATGGTTACAAACTTTTCAAAGTTGTAATCTTTATGCCATCTTTTCTTTTTGACTTTTAATAATAAAATTATTTTAAATATATATATATTCTAATCCAAAAATTCAATCATGTTAAATATATATATATATATTGAACGCTAAAAATATTTTTTAAATTGCATACCCAATCAATTAATCTTAATTTTTTTTTAAATTACTATGTTTATTTTTTATTAATATGCATAAAATAAAAATAAATAGTTCATCTTTGAATATATAATTTATAATCTTAATATACTATCATTTGGTGTAGACATATGAATCATAAAATATTTTTATTTCATAAAATTAAATATTATATTTAAAGAAAATAAGGAAATTACTTTGGATCAATCGGGTATTGAATTAGGGTACTTCCCACTTTGATTGAATTGCTTTTAGGTGATATTTAAAATAGTCAAAAAACTTGACATAACTTGGTTGGTCCGAGGTAATTAAGTTATGTATCAGTTTGACCAGACCAAATTGATTATTGAACCTAAATATAAATTTTAATATTGAAAATACTTTATTACGTGAATGTGATGTCGTCCAAACTTCAAATAATCATATTAACAATACTTTTATGACAACATGATTAATGATTTATGAACATTTATATATCATTTTATTATTATTTATGTGAACAAAATATTTATTTCATTATCATTTTTATTAATGTACGGTAATATAAGGTTTTCAGAATCGCACCGTCTTGTGGTTGTTCAGATTTTAATACATAATACTTTATTATATATATATATATAGTACTTTTTGTAATAAATTTAAATAGAAAGTGTTACTTAAATATCTAAACAATTTATAATTTCAAATGTTTAAACTAATTGATAAACAATTTATAAATCTCTATTTTATTTAAATATGTAATTTTATTTAAAATAATTTTTCATGTAACAAAATTTGTTTAGAAAATCGTATCGATCTTACCAGTCCAACATACTGGCGTTGGCGGATTCGATAGCAAATATTTTATTCAAGCGCACTAAATCGGTTATAAACAGGTTCTCGGTCCATCCGGTCGGACTGTGTCCAACCCGGTTTAATTTATAAATAATGGTAAATCATGATTAATGTTATTTATTTATTTAATTTATAATACAATCAAAATATTATTTTCCCGTGCATCGCATGGGCCACGTACTAGTTAAGAAATAACTAAATTATAAAAATCATAACAAAAATTGAAATAAACTACAAACGGTGGATTCGAGTTGATAACATACTATCGCGGTGCAATGAGTTCAATTAGAATTGTCCTTTCGCTTTGGTAATAACGATTTAGAGCCCAAATACAAAATTACATATGTTCTTTTTACGAAAATTAGAAGGTATGTTTTGTGTTGTTAAAGATTGTACATACACACAAAGAATAAGATTATGTAGACAAGGCCAAATGGCGGTTCAGGCTGATTATGAGGCGAAACCACCAATTACGGGCCACGATTTTGAAGACCATGAATAAGCCCAAAAACATATACATGCCGCTCCTATTTATAAGCACCATTTCCTCTAAGAAACAATCTAGAACTTACAAGGGTTTTGAGCCTTCTACACCCTTTCACAAAATTCCACTTCTTACACACATGTCCTAGAACCTTTTACATGATTTTTGCCCTATCTACAAAACCGACAGTTGTGGACCGATTCATGAACTGACAATTCTGGGTCGACCAATTCATTTAAAGAAGAAGGTCGAACCGTCGATTCTGGTTTTGGTTTCGATTCAAAACCGACCCAACAATTCAAAAAGTTATAAATATGTGGTTCGGAACCAGCCCGATCAAACTTCGGGCTCGATTCAAGACCAATTGACCGTGAATCGAGTCTGGCCCGTGTCCATGTCTATATTATGCAATAGCTAGAAATCAAATTTAAAATGGACAATAACTATATTTTAGATATCTTATACTACCGCTCAATCGCTCATTATATTATTACTATTATTATTATTATTGTAATTATGATTTTGTCACCTCCAAGGCTCCATCCAAATTGCAATTATGAATGCTCTAATTAATGACTATGGGCCCGGCTACCAAATTCAGTAAATTATAAATATTATATAACCTCAATTATAGGTTATGATCTACCCTAGCTTCACAATAAAAAAATTAAAACAATTTTTTTTTAAGAAAAAAAAAGAGAAAAAATTATCTCTTTCTCAGCACCTCTAGAGTCCACGTGTCCGCCTTTATCTGTTTCCCTTTCCCAAGGGCTCCACAGTAGAAGACAACCTTTCGAAATTTGGAGAGGGTCTGTCAGTCTAAGTCATTGAATTCTAGAAATATCGGTTGATTAATCTAAAGTTGGATTTTTTTTCCAAAAGAATCTGAATTTAATTCAACTAATTTATTTTTTTCCCAGTTATCATTGATCGGCACCGATGGTTATTTGATTCTAGGGTGAAAAAGGCGGAAAATCGTTTGGGCGAGAAATGTACGTGAGCGGCGGAGGTCCTGTGCGGAAGTCTTTCAAGGACTCGCTCAAAGTTCTAGAGGCCGATATTCAGCATGCAAATACTCTGTGCGTTTTTCTTCTTCTTCTTCTATTATTTTTTTCACAAAATATTTGCGTAAATTCGAATGTTTGTTTGGATTTTTTTCTGGGTTTCATTGGCGTGGTCGATCAAGATTTTTGATGGGTTTTTGTTTCTTTTTCCTAAATTGTATGTTTCCCTGATTTTCTTGTCTGTATTTTTTTGGGTGTTTGTTTTCCCTCCTTTTCTTTTTGGCCCTTTGGGGGAACTGTTTAGTTGTGATTTTGGTATTTTTTGTATGGTGTAATTTTACTCCATCCAGATTGTTTTTGTTCAATATCATTGTTTTACTGAAACAAAATCAAAACTTTTTGCGGGTATGATAGTGAGAATCCATGTCCTGCTTGTAGATTAAGAAAACTTGTAATTTAAGCTGTTTAAAGCTCACTTTAATGGTTGCTTCATGTTGCCATAAATGTATTTCTTTTGGGTTTTAGGCTATTAGTAGTTTATGGACTTCGAAAATATGTCTTTGAAGTATGAACTGCACGGAGCTTTTCTGTGGCTTTCTCTGAAAGAGTTTCTTCTTGATTAGATTCTCTTGAAGTAATCCACAGTAATTTCTGATCTCCTAGCTAATGTCATGTTAGTGAATATTGAAGTACCTGCTTATAATTTAATCACTCTTAGGGCCTAAATATTAAAATGTTGCTGCAGGGCATCCGAGTTTTCCCAAGAGTATGATGGGGCTTGCCTGCAAATGAGAATATCATACAGCCCAGCTGCCCATTTTTTCCTCTTTCTTGTTCAGTGGACTGATTGCCACCTGGCAGGTGCTCTTGGGCTGTTAAGAATTCTAATTTATAAGGTTAGTCTGTGCTTTACAATCTTTTCAAAGTTATTTTTTCTTCCAATTACTGAATGCAGTCAAATCATGTATAAATGGTATATAGGTCTATGTTGATGGCACCACAACTATGTCGACTCATGAGAGAAAAGCCAGCATTCGAGAATTCTATGGTAATGTTTTGGTTAATCATTTTCTGAAAGAAGAAAAAAAAAATGAATATCGGTTCTGAAAATTGATTGGTCGTGTGTTCAGCTGTTTCTCTTTTGCTCCTTTCTCATTTGCTCCAATCTCTTCCTTTTGTTCCTTTTGTTTTGAGCCTTTTTTGTGTTTCTCTTACCATTGGTTCTCTTGGGTTTCATCTGTAGCCTAACCCAACTTGCTTGGGACTAAAAGGCTATGTTGTTGTTGTTGTTGTTGATGTTGTTGTTGATGTTTTGTGTTCAGCTGTTATTTATCCGTCTCTAATGCAACTTGAAAGAGGTGTCACGGATAGCGAGGATAAAAAGCAGAAAGCTGTATGCTTAGAGAGATACAGAAGAAGGGATGAAGAAGAACACAGGCAATGCTCGGAGGTAGACATGGAGAGGGAAGAAGAATGTGGGATTTGCATGGAGATGAACAGCAAAACAGTCCTGCCAAACTGTAACCATGCCATGTGCTTAAAATGCTATAGAGAATGGTAAATCTCCCATTATTGTGATTTCCTAATCGTGTTTTCCCAGTGTTTTCATGCAATTAGATATTTTCAATTATGTTATATTTATATTGAGTACTCACACACGTATATATCCTTTATGCAGAATTTGTTGACATATGGTTCTGTGTGTGCATGTGATGATTAAATTGAAAACTTCAAATTTTGTCGTATGGTTTATTCTGCTCTGTGAGATAAAAGTGATTGTGGACAAAACTAATAGAAGGAGGAGCTTAGTAGATGCTAGATGAAGGTTTCATTCTTTGATCTCCCTATTACTGCTGAAAATTGGAGTGGAATTTTTTCTTTT